AGGATTTGTTCATCCTGGAAATGAGAATAAAGTTTGTAAACTGATTAAATCACTATATAGTTTAAAACAAGCACCCAAACAATGGCATGAGAAATTTGATTCTTGCATTCTATCTTTTGGTTTTAAACACAATAGTGTTGATAGATCCATTTACTCAAAATTTACTAAAAATTATGGTATAATTATATGTATTTATGTTGATGACATGCTTATTGTGGGTACTAATATGGTTGGCATAAATGAAACTAAAAACTACTTATCATTTGTCTTCAAGATGAAAGATTTAGGAGAAGTAGATATCATCTTAGGAATAAAAGTTAAAAAGCATAGTAGGGGTCATGCATTAAGCCAATCACATTACATTGAGAGAAATTTAAATATTTAAATATTTAGGATTTAAAAAATATAGCACACCATATAATTATAGTATAAAGCTACTAGAAAATTCTGGTAGAGCAATTGCACAACTTGAGTATGATAGTGCAATAGAAAGTCTGATGTATGTTATGTTTTGTACTATACCTGATATTGCATTTGCAGTAAGTAAACTCAGTCGGTTTACAAGTAACTCCGGTGCAGAGCATTGGAAGGCAATTGGGAAAGTTCTTGAGTATCTCAAAAGAACCTTGGAACTTGGCTTGTTCTACTGTGATTATCCAGATGTGCTAGAAGGGTACACTGATGCAAACTGGATTACCAGTGAGATAACAAGTCCACATCTAGATGGATTTTCGTCCTTGGTGGGGGTGCGATCTTTTGGGCATCCAAGAGATAAACTTGTATATCTCACTCGATCATAGAATCCGAATTCATAGCCTTGGCGGCTGCTGGAAAAAATGTTGAATGGATTAGGAATTTATTATTGGATATAAAACTTCGCCCTACTCCTATGCCTCCAATTTCCATTTACTATGATAGTGAGGTAACTCTATTAAGAGCCTATAGTGGTAGTTACAATGATAAATCCAGACATATAAGTCTGAGACATGAATTTGTTAGGCAACTGATTCAAGATGGAGTCATCACCATAACTTATGTGAGGTCAAGTAAAAACTTGGATGGTCCTCTTACCAAGGGTTTGGCCAGAGAATTGGTAAGAACGACAATTAAAGAGACGAGATTAAAACCATTTACTTAGTTACCTATAATGGTAACCTGACTTGAACTGAAAAAACATCAGTATTGGGTTTAATGAGTAACAACAAGTTACAGCAATGTGACGGTTAGCATTGACATTGAGAAATTTTCCATCACAACATAAACAGTGTTGTCCGTTATGATGAGAGGTTGAATTAAACTCTTAATGAAGTTCTGAAATGTGTCAAATAACGGAACACATAATAGAACTTCACCTATGTGAACATAGAAGTGGTGCCGCTTCTCATGAGAGTTTGATTTTGCTCTTGGAATTGTTCATGAAACTAGGAAAAAAGCTCATGGCCATAACAGTGTTAAGCAAAACTTGAAACTCTTGCAGAGACTACACATTTTGTGTGTATGGGTATCTCCGATCCGTCTTGAGAGTAATTGGTTTATGGTCTTACCACCAATAACTTTGACAAGGCTCTGAGATATCTATATTAATAAAAGGTTTAAGTTGTTAAACACCTTTTGTATGCATAACTATGTCATAGTAGTTTGTATCGAGAGAAACCTATGTAATTGATTAATCAATGTGGGGGATTATTAGATTTTAATCTCATTAGAGATTAAATCCAATGGGTTTGATTGGTCAATTACATGAGAAATTGCACCTGCACACTTGTTTGGAAAATAACTTTTCTCTTACTAAAACTGGTTTTGAACATGTCCCACATTGGAAAATTACAAGTTTTGTTTTGAGTTTTCTAATAGGATCTGATTTACACTCCTTAGAAATAGAAGATGAGAGTATGGAGGCTTGCTACCGTGCAACGCGCATGCATGCGTGTGCAACGCAATGAGGCGCTTTAGAGGCGCACTTTGCTCGCACACGCTGACCGTTGATGTGATCACGAAGGGCGGATTTGGCCTTTTGGTGCAATGCTGACCGTTGATGTGATCAATGGCCACAATTCGATCGGGTGTGATCAAGAGGCACAATTCAAAGTTAACAGTCATTAACTGTTAACTACATTTTAAATAGTCACAATGTTTGAAATTGTGATTGTTCAATGTGCCTTTTCTGAACCAGCACCTTCATGACTCTTTAGAGATTATTAAGGAGCACAAACCAAGCATTTACACACACACAACATTTTCGAAAATCACTTTCTCTCTCTCTCTCAATCCGGTTTGCTACAGTCTCACAGAAGATTTCATTGAAGAATCTTCAACTTTGTTAGTTGCATATTCTCGCCCAAGGCTCTATTGTATCCTGGGAACGAATTTGCTTGTAACCCAATAGCAAACTCAGTGAAACTGAGTAGGGGTAAATAACGTTCTAAAGACAGTGTCTTCAGACGCGCCTCAGAGCTTCTCCTCCAACTTTCAGTAACCCTATTTCCCAACATTGTTGATGGCTACATTCATCAAGTTGAACATTGAATATATCAGTGATATAAAATACAATCAATGTTCTTGATGTGTTGCTGAATGAATATGGTCAGCTAGCAATATATTGTGATCAATAGATCCAAACTCACTGGTGGCACTCACCAGTCACCAATTAAGAATCAATCAAGAGATGCCTGACACGTGTACCAATCGTGATGTTGGAACATAGCTTAGGCTTGCTTGGCACTAGAGGAGACTTCATGAATGCATCCAAAATCTAATTCGGATGTACTCCTCGTAAAATCGTTCTCACACCCTCTTATAGGTGTGAATTAGGGATATCTTACCATGCATAAATAAAAATATAGAAGTACTGAGATATTCCCAATGCATGGCAGTAAGGAATTGTGAGGGTGGTGTAAAGACTATGTCTGAATTCTCAATCACTCAGGTGGTGTTTGATAACACTTTTTAAACCTCTGAAGTTTGAAAATGTTGTTTTTCAAACATCAGAGGTGTTTGGAAGTGTATATGAATTTGGGTCTGAAAATTATTTTTAGTTTTGAAATAATAAGTGATGGGCCAGGCGTTGAATGCGTTCAAATGCATTTCAGACCTGGCTGAAAGTCCAAAATACCCTTGAAAATGTTGCTTGCATTTTGCCCTCTCGTCGTTCATCTTTTGCCCCCCCCCCTCTCTCTCCTTTCTTGTTCTTATTCTTCTCTCACTGTTGCAACTCCTCCGGTGAACTAGCGGCAGCGAGTTTCGTCTCTCTCTCTCTCTCTCTCTCTCTCTCTCTCTCCTTCCTACTTCTTCTTCTTCTTCTCTCCCCTTTGCAACCAAATAGTCTAATTTAGGGGTAAAATAATAAAATTAGTGAATTTTTAGATGCTGAAGGTTTAATCCAATACAAACAACATTCTTTATTCAGAGCCTCTAAAAAGTAAAAAAAAAACAACTATATCTCTTTCCAAATTTCAGACACTTTTAATATCTTTTTAACTTTTCGAATTTCAGATTTATCAAATGCTACCTCAATGCAAGGTTGAACTATATCCGAATTGTAAGGTGGGTTGTCAACCCTAATTATTATAAGATTAATAAAAAGAAAATCCTGATTTGCTCCTCACAACCAAAGTTCAAATTTTTTTATACGATACACCTAAATTTCGATACAATACGCCTTGTATCGTGCACTTAACGATATACATATTTATAGGTGTTTTGGGAACCGGCCTCTATTTAATACAAAATATAGTTAAAATAGGCTCAAAATCCAAATTTTGAAAAAAAAAACTACAAAATATAAAGCGTGCCATTTTAAGCAAGGTTCAAAATATCGATACGCCCCTATGTATCGGCAGGGACGTAATGATACTTAAAATGGCACGTTTTTATTTTTACTTTTTTAAAATTTAGTTTTTGAGCCTATTTTTAACTATATTTTACATTAAATATAAATATAAATAGATGTATTATAAAACGCCCAACACAAAGCATTTCATAACGAAAATTTGAAACTTGATTTTAAATAGTGATACATGGGCGTATTGATATTTTAAACCTTGCTAACAGCAGCAAATTCACAACATTTGTCGTAAATGAAGAATATCTATGTAAAGTAAAAACCTTTATATTTTATATTATTTTCTATGTATGTGTACTCCTTTCAAACCCAGCCATTGGAAATATTATGATTTATGAGTCGCGCGCTGTTTTACAGCAAATCTGAATTCATTTTAGTAGTTACAAGGATCATGCTGACGTTTCATCCTAATGCTGGTGGACGTCCATGGAAATGACAAACCAGCATGGATAGTGTCGACGACTTGACTTGCGGGTTCCCTTCCCGTCATCAGTGATTAATGTGAGTTTACATATGCACCCCACATGCATTGGGAACATCTCCCGTATTTGTCATGGCAGATGTTCTTGGAATGTGTTGTAGGATGACTGTGGGGCGCAGATGTGAATTCCTTTAATGTTGTAGGATTGAATTAGCATCGCTGCATCTATGCGCACATCGGGAACATCTCCGGTAGATGTAAATGGGAGATAAGGTTGACCTAATACCGATGTACGTCAGACACCGACACTTCCCACGCGTCTGACAGCTGGCGTACTCCCCACGCTTTTTTTTTTCTTTTTTTTGACGCTTGACGGCACGTGACGACAGATGGGCCTCGTCTCGTTAAACGTTTTGGATTTGCACGTGCAATACATCCCTAAATAGTTAATACCCATGATACCCCTCCTCCTCAGACACTTAGACCCGGATCTTAGTACCCCGATCCAGATTAGATCCGTTCCCCCTACCTAATCACTGAACTCCTCTTTCCTTTAATCGGCCTATAAATCTCATCGTAAGCATCTGAATGATTCACGTTAAGTATTTATTATGATTTAATCTTGTAATAATCATCTATTATATATTATTATTCCATCAAACTTTTATTAAAGTAGTTATTAATAAAATATTATATATTTCATATGCTTGTTTTATCCTTCATTCCCATATGCCAAGAGCTCTTTGCTTTGTAAATGCTTCCGCTTTTAGTCCCTCTGCACGCCTTCCACCATTCTTCCATCCTCCTCGAACAGTCGAACACCCTTTCTCTTACATTCGGAGCTCGACTCCAGTCAGTACTAAATCCATCCATTTTACAGACAAAAATCATTTTTTTTTTCCTTTCATCTCCTTTCCTCTTGATAAGAATTATTCTTTATATTAGTTTTTTTCTACTGATAATCGTTCGATATTTATTAAAATGACCCTCTTTTGTTTTCATTTCAGAAATTTCTGTCCGCTTTGTTTTCTTTATTGCAGTCAAAGATCTGAATCTGAGTACATAGAAGGAATTACTGGTCAGGTGAGCAGGTACACAGCAGGATTGATGGGCGCTGATTTGGGAGTTTGTTTTGGGGTTTTGGATTTATGGACCCAGTGAACCACTGAAGCAAACTGGTAATACACTTTTCTGAGTTCAAATTTCTAAACTTGGATTTTGATCTTGTTGTTGGGTTTGAGAAACAGCCAAGAGAAGTGCTAAGGAATAATTCAAGTTGATTAGTGCAAAAAAAATAAATAAATAAAGAGAAAGAAAGATTAAAAAAAAAATCATTGGAGTTCTTGCCGTATGATCATTTGAATTGATGAAGAAATATGGGTATCTGAAATAAATAAATAAAACTAGCTAGAGGAGGAGGAGGAGGAAGAAGAAGCGATTTTTAAAGTTTTTATTTAACTGGTTGATTTTTTTTCTTTTACAGTAATAGATAGGGAGAAAGAAATATCAGATCGAAGAAACAGATAAAAAGCTGGCAAGCAAGTGGTGGGAGAGAGTAGATGTGGCGATGACGGGCTTGGAACCAGGCCCAGGTTCTCGCTACGTCCACCAGCTTCTCAGGCCGGAGTTGCACTTACAAAGATCATCACAGACACAACACCAAACAAACCAAATCTTCGACTCGAAGAACTCCCCAGAGAAGGATCAGAAGACCGACTCGAACTCAGCCACGACAAGCTCTGGCGCAGCAGCAGCCATCGCCACTCGCCGGCCGCGCGGCCGGCCTCTAGGCTCCAAAAACAAGCCGAAACCACCGATAATCGTCACCCGGGACAGCCCCAGCGCACTCCGATCGCATGTTCTTGAAGTCTCGGCAGGCGCGGATGTGGTCGAGTGTGTATCAAATTACGCAAGGCGGAGGGGGCGTGGAGTGTGCGTCCTTAGCGGCGGTGGAACAGTCGTCAATGTGACGCTGCGTCAGCCAGCAGCACCTGCAGGGAGCGTAGTAACACTGCACGGTCGGTTCGAGATACTTTCGCTGTCGGGAACAGTGCTTCCGCCACCGGCTCCACCTGGAGCAGGTGGACTAATGATATTTTTGGCAGGAGGGCAGGGACAGGTTGTTGGGGGCAGTGTCGTGGGCCCTTTGGTTGCTTCGGGTCCAGTGATGCTAATGGCTGCATCATTTGCGAATGCCATGTTTGAAAGACTACCATTGGAGGTGGAGGGAGAGGAGTCACCGGTGCAGGTCCAGCCCTCGGCATCACAGTCATCAGGTGTTACAGGTGGTGGCCCTGGTGCGCAATTGGGTGAGAGTTCAGGTGGAAGCGGTGGAGGAGCTGCTGCTACTGGTGGTGTTTCTTTCTACAATTTGGGAGTGAACACGCTCAACTATCAGTTTCCTGGAGATGTTTTTGGTTGGAACGGCAATGCTTCAAGGCCTCCATTTTAATGGTAAATCCGGGGAGATGGATTTGAGTGTCGATCTCTTCTGGGCGGTAAGTAGTTTTGACATTTGAGCTCGTAATTAAGGGTTGATTAATTTGGGTCTCGGCTTTAAGAACAACCGAGAGACGATAGTACAGCTTTTTCTGCAATAAAAGCCATAACCTGTAAAGAAATCGGCCATTTTCATAACGGGGGCGAAGAACACAAGTAGCAGCAGTGGAAGAAGAAGGACCAGATGAACCCCTGATGCAAGTATTAAAATGCTGTAATTTCATGAAGTACTCGTTATTTGCAGAAGGGCAGAAAGATATATGAAGCCTATTTAGACAGAAGCTGAAAGATTAAAAAAAAATCCTGTGTGAACTTGAAGAAAAGGATTTGCAGACTTTCCAAAAGGTCAGTGAATGCAAATTCATGTACAAAATTTTCTTTTCTTGGTTTCTACTCGTTCTCCATGTTTACTCATTTCTAGATGCTACTGAGGGGGAGTACAGTCTACTTACCCCCTCCCCCCCCCCCGCCCCCCCCAAAAAAAAAAATCTTATGTCTGTACCACTTCATTGTGTATACGTTTTCTTCCCTTTGAATATATATATCACATATGTTTGCGGGTAAGGGTACGTGTGTTGTCTTCTTTCTAATTGTTCTATGTGTAATCGTTGTACTAGAGAAGTTAATAACTACTGATGATGAGGAGGAAAATAAAAAGAAAAGAAAAACCTAGTACTGATATTTGATTTGATCAAACCCTAGTTTTTAGGTTGTTTCACAAGTTACAATAGATTAAAACTTTATCCGCCTTGCGCCTAGGTGTGGGGATCTAATTGATTTTTCTGTAAACGGGATAAAAAGAAGAAAACCCACTTTCCCAGGAAATGAAAGACACGAGGAAGCATATGTTGGAACTTTGGAACTAAAACTTCAAAAAGAACAAAGAAAGGAATGGAAATCATAATATATAGATTATAGAGCACGCTCTTCTTTGGAAATTGGAATTGTTTTTCCTCCTTTGCTTTCTTTTTGGTTGTCTTTGACAGGCTGCCAATGGAGTTCCCGAAACTCCTCCAAATGCCCACTAAACATGCATTATCTAATTTTTAACTTTTCCCTTTGATGAAAGCAAGTCCAAGGTGTGTTAGATTAGATGTACGTAATATATATATATATATATATATATATATATATATATATACTGTCTTCAAGAATGGAGCCGAGGACAACAAAATAAATTTATTGGTGTCCAAGGCCGAGGGGTCCAACCTGCTGTAAGCATGAGAAGATAGCACATCAGAGGCCTTGGGTGTTATTCCAAAGGAAAAAACTCAGATGGTCAAGTTAGTCGGGTACTAAAGAGGTGCCGGATAAGGGTTCAGAACTTGGTCCTTAGGAACTCAGAAGAGTCTTTCAAGATTAAAAATGCAAGAAAACAAGAGTAAATAAGATGGATTTATCTTAACATTGACACCCCTTTTTTAATTGACCTTATCATGGAGTGGTTGGAAGCAGTTAGAGATAAACAGTCTGACTGATGCCACGTGGCACAATCTAGGGCCTGCTATATGCGCCTACATCTTGCCAAGTTGCCACATGCAGTTAGCTTATTAATTTCTTGTATCGATTGGTAGGTTCAAGGGGCATCGTTGTTATCTCTTTGAGTTTCTTGTTGGACAGCAAATTCTCGAACAGACAAAATGCAAATTATGCAAAGCACGCATGCATCCAACAGATGGACAAGCACTGCTCGACAGAGATTTCAGTTTCTTGTTGCCCCCTTCCTGTCTGGACTGTGTACGTGATAAGAAGTCATAATCCTTGAGAAAGAAGAAAAAAGAAAAATTGAAAGGAGGTAATAAATAATGCAGATTGAACTGTCACATACTCGTCTATATTTGTTAAATGATTGGTCTAGAAGACCTGTTTTTCTAACGTGCATTCATCTTATTTCACTTTCAGTAGTGTAGCGTATCCTTAATATAATTAAATATAACCGATTGCTGTTTTTATATCGATCTAAGTAGCATTAGTGTTTGTAATTTCTTCATTGTTTATTCGCTCTTTGCTTTTGTCTCTTCATTAACAATATAAATATAGTAAGTAAACCCATTCAATAATCTTGTTAGCTTATGTTTGGGTTGATAGTTTTGAGTTTTTACATCAGTTGAGATTCAAACTAGGTTTATATTTAGTGTTTGTTCTTTTAACCTAATTAAATTCATCTAGTCTAGATCCTAATTTATTAGAGATAGCCAAAAGGGGTTAAAGATGTGATGGGAGAGGAGACAAAGTTACAAATATTGACTGTTGGAGAGAGAGAGAGAGAGGAAGGGTTTAAGAATGATGGAAATTATCAAAGACAATTAAAAAACCACATGTTTGAGAAATGCAAGGTGAAGGTTTTATATTTTCTCCTCACACCCACCTCACACCACTTGCAGTCATGCACATTGGGAAGGACTTGGGATCTGCTCCTCACACCAGATGCCTTACACCGACCACACAGGCACATCTCACCATGCATTGATTACGGTAGATGTTCCCAATTCATGTAATTAGGCCCGCGGGCCTGACCTCGGACCTAACACAGTAAGCCTGACTGTGTTTCAGGCCAGGCTCGGGATTTGTCAAAAACGCCCAGTCCGACTCAGCATTATATATTTTATAAAATATATAATATGTAATTTATATATTATATAAAATATATAAATAATATAATATTTATTAAAATATATATTTATAATTTAATATATACATTTTTTATTCTTTTCTTTATACTCTCTCTCTCTCTCTCTCTCTCTCTCTCTCTATATATATATATATATATATATATTCAGCCGCTAACAGTATGGGCTAATTTTGGGCTCGGGCCCAAGTTGTAGGCCTGATGGTCAAGCCGGGCTCAGGCTCGAACTCGGGCGCAAGTTGTAGGCCCGATGGTCAGGCCGGACTCGGACTCGGGCTCGGGCCTTAGAAAATTCTATTAATACAAAATGAAAGCCCGACCCGGCCCATGAATAGGTCTAGGTGGAATGTGCCTGTGGGATGGTCCTCAACTATCATTTCGAATTAACAGATCTGGTTTTATTGGGAACATCTCCTTATGGATGAAAACATAGAAGCACACGAGATATTCCCAATGTACAAATGCAACGTGGAAGTGAGAGGATCCCTCGCCTAGTCGCCTCCCCTCTTCCCTCTAGATAACACAAAAAATTGAAACAACGAAATAGAGATTTATTTACTTTTCATGGTATCTTTGAGTGATATGGAACCTCAAGATTACGCAAGAGCAGCAGTTAAGAAGTGTATATAGTAGACTGTAGGCCCACAATGAGCTGAATCTCAGTAAAGACAGACAATTTTGAAGTCATTAAACATTTCTAGCGTTTGTACTACTTGTAACTCAATCTTAACTGTTCATTAGAAAAATCTATCTAATGAAACACTTCGATAAACAGATAAGTTTTCATCAACCATCTTAACGGCTTTTTAGATCTCTCTTGCAATATCTGTTTCGATCGGAGCAACATTCCTTGATGGCTAGACCTCGTGCACAAAGCATTTTCACTCACTCTAATAGACATAAATTAACAAATAATATCAATTGATGATGCACAATCTGGCAGATAAGCTCCGGGGACAAATAATATCAATTGTCGATGATCTTACCTCTGAACTGAGTAATAGGGACCTGAAACGGGAGGAGAAGATAAGCTCCGGGGAGAACCTGGCGTAAGGGCTCTGAAGCTCAAGTTAGAATCCTTCAAAGGCAAGAATAACCAGATAGCGCGAAAGTTA